ATTCTCAGAATTGTTAGATATCCTTGGCTCTTCATAGAATCTTCATTCTCAGAATTCTTATATATCTTGATTGTTGTCAGAATTTTAATTCACAGGATTATTACATATTTTGGTTCTTCTCAGAATCTTGTTTCTATGATTCTCAGGATTGTTAAAATTATCTTAATTCGGAATCTTAATTCTTAGAATTGTTGCATATCTTGATTTTCCCCCAGAATCTTGATTTTCAAAATTGTAATATAAATCTTGATTCGCAAAACTGTTGTATATATCTCAGTTCTGAGAATTGTTCCAATAGGTTTCTTATGATTTCTTATATTTTCTTACATTTTTAATGAAACTAGATTGCAACTGGATGGGTCATTCATTGACCAGATTGGTTTAAATGATTGATTAATTAAAGATTAACTTAAACGTTAAGTATAAAGAAGTTAAATGTAAGTGTTATTGTCCATCTGGTCATTCTAGACCAAACAATATCCTAAAAAATGCTTATCTATGCTAGACTCTTTTCGGAATTGGCAAAATACAATGCACACCATTTAATATCCATTCAAATATTCAATGTCCATTCAAACGTTCATTCAGTATTCAAATAAATGGATTGGTCAAAAAATAAAAAAAATTAAAACGAAAAAAAAACGACAATAAAATGAGATTGAATAATTATCGCTTTACGAAAGTGGGAGAATATAATGGAAGAATGCATTATGTGATGTCCATTCAAATGTCCATTTAAATGTCCAACATAAACTGATCAAAAAAATAAAGCGAAAAAAATTGATAATAAAATGGAGCTGAACAATTATTGAGCAATGGGAAAAGTTAACAAAGTTGATAATAAATATTAACGTTAAAATTAATTAATTTCAAATTTTAACAAAAATAAGCGACAAATAAGGAAATTTAAAATTTCACTTTAGCAAAAAATTTGTCAACAAACTTTCTTTTTAACTTCAAAAGTTAAAATTTTTTATAAATTTTGCAACCATTATTAAAATTTTGTTAGAAACTTACATATTAGCTTACAGCTTACATATAAGCTTACATATTAGCTTCTTTTCTGTTTGAAAAAAAAAAATCAGTTACAAATTTTTGCGCTTATTTCAAGTTTATCGTTTACGAAAATGCTTTGTAGTTCTTTTGTTAATTTTTTTTCTTTTTTTTTTGTAAATTGAAGAAGATTGGTTAAAAGTCAAATAGCCTAGAGGAAAGGCAAAAAAAAGCAAATTTTTGTCCTCCAAATATCAAATTTTTCACCGTATCCATCCATCAATCTATCTTTCTTAAAGTTTCTAACATTCTTTTTTCTTTTTTCTTACTTTCTATCTATTCTTCATCATATTTTGCTTGTAATCTCTCGACATAATGGATAATTATATTTGTTATAAGGCAAAAAAAAAAAAAGATGCAGTCGAAAATTTTGCATTTTCAATTTTTTCTTTTTTTTTTTTTTTTTGGAGATACAAATTGCGCTTTTTTCCTCATAACATACTATTGCCTTGCCTAATGAAATCTTCAATTTTGCTTAAAAAAAAAAAAAAAAAAAACCAGGCCTAATATAATAAGTTTTATGCATATTTTCTTTCCATCCATAAATATTTCATTTTAAAATTTTTGAAAAATTCAATAAAATATTCCAAAAAAAAAAGAAAAAAGAATGGATCGGAAATTGATTTGTAAACTTAAATCAAATATACGAAATAAAGTTAAATTTGTTATTCATTTTAATAATAGCACACATTTTAATTGGATAAATCAATAGCTAATTAATGAATTAAATTAGAAGAATGAAACTTTCAGAGAAGAAATTCAGAAAACAGTATAATCGTTGTAATAATGCGCAAATAATCCGATGTGATAATAAGCAATAATCATAATAAAGTAAACTAGTCCAGTATTATTCGAATTTGATCTATGATTAAATATAGCAATAATTAATTATTAATCTTATGAAGAAAAAAAAGAAAACTTAATAACTTGATAAATTGAACTTATAATAATTTGATAATTTAACATCAAATAATTATTGAACGATTTTCTCTTTTTTCTTTTATATTTCGAGAAAAAAAATTAAAATTTTCAATTAACTAAATGAATCCATTAATATTAAATTAATTAAATTAATATTTTGTTTATAATTTGATAATGTAACTCACATAGTTCTCTTTAACTTTATAAATTCAATTCATTATTATTTTCAAAAATCAAACAAAAGCATCATAATTTTGATATTCATTAGAACTAAAACACAAAAATATTTTTGTATTATTGATGAAAAAGTGAAAATTAAATAAATTAACTTAATGAATTAATTAATTTAATGAATTGATAATTTAGGTTAAGAGAGCTAAAAGGGTATAATTTCCGAATTGAGGATTTAATAAAGACAATCATTGCTTTCAATCAATGGAAAATTTGATGAACAATTGCTATCCGATGAACGCTTATCAGCAGAACAATTTAATAGACGAAATAATCTCATCCATTTTATACCTTCCTCAGAAATAATTATAAATCATTTATTTAGCAATTATTGATTGGGCGTAAAAATGCTAATATATGCTTTGCATCAGTTGTTTGTTGGCTTTTTTAATTTATAAAAAAATTAAAATTTAGAAATAAATATGGCATTATTTGCTAATATTTAGATGATATATTACTGAATGATTGTGCATAAATTAAATTTGTCAATAAGGTAAGCTTATTTGAACTCTTTTGAAGTAAGCGCTTTTTTTTTTATTTTAAGATAGCAAAGCGCAACAATCATTTCTGAGCTTATTTAAAAGGATTTTTTATTGCCTGAATCATTATCATCTCTCTATCATGCCTTATCTGAATTATTATCATCCCTGTATTATACCTTATCTGAATTATTATTATCCCTGTATCACACCTTATCTTAATTATTATCATCCCTGTATTATACCTTATCTTCTGAATTATTATCATCCCTGCATCACACTATCATGCCTTATCTGAATTATTATCATTTCTGTATCACACTAACATACCTTATCTGAATTATTATCATTCTTGTATCACAGCTTATCTGAATCATTACCAACCCTTTATCATACCTTATCTGAATTATTATCATCTCTCTATCATAAAACTATTTCACTCAAATTAAATTTGATAACAAATTGGATTAATAGTAAATTTCAAAAAAACCCAACTAAATTAAAAAACATAATATTTTTTATCATTGATGAATAGTGTGTAAAAAGAAAAATTGTGATTATAATATTAGATAATAAAGGAAAAAAACGAAGTGATAATTGTAATCATACAAATGATAACATTTTGGAAATGATCAATAGTGATAAAAATGATAACAATTAGGTGAAAAATAATTGTAGAAGAAATAAAACATGAAAAGTGATTACAAAAAAAAAAAAAGAAGAATGAGAAAAAGGAAGAGTGAAAATATCGATGTACAATTGCGCCATTCTTTTACTTGTTTATTTCATTTTAGCTTTTTTTTTATTTTTCTTCTATAAAGCAAATTATTTTTGTTCGTTACTTTTTCTTTTTTTTTTTTTTTTTTTTTGAAAATGAAATATTTCGAAATGTTTTGCTCTCAAAATAGTTGAATTAATCAATAATAATCAATTGTATGTTTCATATGATAAATAACTGATTTTTGCACTTCAAATCAATTGCCGCCTTTTGTGTTTTATCTTACAAATCAAATGCCGCCATTTAGTTTTATCTTTTAAATCAATTTTCCGCTCTTTGACAATAAATTAAACAAAGAATTTTCCATTTTGAATATTTTTTAAAATTTTGGGAAAAAAAATTTATTTTAATTTGGCAATTTTATGAATGTATAATTATACAATGGATTATATCTATATTTATACTACTATGAATGATTAAAAAAAATATATATATGGTTAATTAATTTAGTTAATTAATATATATATTTTTAATATATATATTTTTAGTTATATTTTTTTTTTAGTTTTTTTTTAGTTTATTATTTTTTTTTTAGTTTATTTTTTTTTGTTTTATTTTTAATATATATATTTTTAGTTATATTTTTAGGTTAGTTAATTAATATATATATGGTTAATTAATTAGTCGATTAATTAATTAACGAATCAGTATTAATTCAAAGTATGGAAATTGAAGATTATAAATAATCATTATTATTTTGCTTCATTATAAATTTTAACATATAATAAAAGTAATTTTAGGAATATTTCAGTTCACTTTTTAATATAACTATTTTATGGCTTTTATTTTTGTTGTATTTCAGTTACATTATGAAAATTATGATATGTCTTCAATGCTTTATGAAATATTTTTGAGGTATTTAAAATAGTTTTTTAGGTTGAAATTTTTTCTAATTATTTAAATTTGTATTTTTTTTTTTAATAACTAAATTTGAATCATTTATAATGATGACAAAAGAATCATTTGATCCATAATCTTTTTTAACCAACAAATTTTATTTCATATTGCAACCTGTTACACAAATCTATTTTCCAGGCTTTTCAATGATCATTTCCGGATAACATTTCCGGATAATGGATTTATTTACCCATTTAATATGCTAAAAGTGCATACTTGATCCTTGCTAATAGATATATCCTGTAAGCATATACTACAATATTTTCCAGTAACTTTTCACTTTCTTCGATGAAAACGATAAGTGTACTTTTCGTTTGTAATTGATTATTTGTATTCCGATCATTCCGAAGATCCATTCCTGTCAGGAAAAGAGATATTTTTAGGACAAGAATCATACTCGATTTTATCGTATCATTAAATAAATATTTCACGAAAAATTTGCTAAATCTTTATCAATGATAAAAAACTTAGTTATCAGCCATAGACTATGTTTTTGAAAGTAAATGGATAAATAAATGTATCATATAGTGGAAAATGTAACTGATAGCTAATTATCTGAACATGAATAATTAATTAATTAATTCCATGCTAAGTATTTCAAAATGATTGCAGTGAATCAGTGGAGTTAACAAATCATCACAACATTTGCATCATCCAAATAAATTAATTATCGTAAACGATCAAAGTAAAGCTAAAATTTAATTCACATATGCAAATTTCTGTAGTCATACCTGTCACTGTCACAATCATACCTATCACTGTCATAGTTATACCTATCACAGTTATACCTATCACTGTCACAGTTATACCTATCACTGTCACAGTTATACCTATCACTGTCACAGTCATACCTATCACTGTCATGATCATATCTGTAGCTGTCATAAGTATAATTTCCGATTTTAACAATGTGCGTATCAGTGATCAAAAACATGTTAAAACAATGCTAATGCTTAATTACATATCAGTAATGCATTTACATTCCTGAATTATCAGATCAAGAAAAGCCAATCAGTGATGATTCATCCGAAGGACGGATCAATAACATTTCATCCGATAGAGAAAGTCTAACCAATGATGATTCATTTATTGAAAAGTGTTTGTTGTTGGAAATTCTCATTTCAAAAGAAAAGAAAAAACAAACCTTTCCAGGAGTGTCATAAATTTTGAGGGAAAATTGTCCCAATACCTTATTACAGTATAATCATAATCTTTGTAATTAATGATCTGAAAGGCTAAGTAAAGCAAATGATAAAATTACTTAAAATCAGAAATGATAACTTTTTATTTGATGATAACATATTTGAAGGAATGCTTATGAATTATTTTTATCCCAAATTTCCTACTTGGCTCATTTGAATATCTTTCAAATCGTTTGTTATCTACTTGGCTCATTTGAATATCTTTCAAATCGTTTGTTATCTACTTGGCTCATTTGAATATCTTTCAAATCGTTTGTTATCTACTTGGCTCATTTGAATTATCTTTCAAATTG